ATTTAATGATTTCCTTATGACACAAGTTTGAAGAAATGCAACCTATGGACTGGCAAACAGCAGGTAAGTTGGAATCCCCTCCCCCAAAATCAGTTGTAAATGTTAATTATTTTCAGATAGATTCCTCAAAAATAGATTTTCATTTCAATTACCCCTAGAAACTAATTTGTTTTCAGTTCATTTTTCGTGCATGTTCTTAATGTGCAGCAGTGAATGCTCAAGTAAAACTACAAACAAGTAATTTTCCTTGGTAATAATAGAACAAGTTAACCTGGGCATTTTATATATTAACTTGATTTGAGTTTAACTTGTATTATAAATCTGTGGGGAACTTGGTAAATGAAACACTGTTAATAAGTCTTTAGAGAAGTGAAAAAACTTGTGAAGTTATTTGGAACTGTTAGGCCATTATATTTTTTTTATATTTTACAAAACGAGCAAAATTCTAAAAAGTTTGTTGGTAACTTATTACTGGCAGGCTAAAGTAAAAGGCTATATCTATGAATTTAGCCAATAACACTTCTGACAAAACAAACAAAATTAAAATTGAGATTCTAACAATCCAAACAGTTTGAGGAATTATTTTAGTTTTGAATATTTTATTCTGCTTCTGCCAGTTCCTGAGGACTATCTAAACCATGTTCCTCTGCTTTTTATATACTGACAGCTATATAAAATATGCAATAAGTTATGTCAGGTATACCAAAAGTAATAAAGTCACCACAAAGTAAGGTTTTAAAAAATTACTAATACAGATTTTAACATAAAATTATGAAAACAGTATCCGCTTTACGTATTCTAAATAAGAACTGGCTTGAAAGAGAGTTCATGCACAGAAAAAGTGCATAATGTACATCCATACACTTTTCAAAACAAATGCAAATATACGTTGTACACCCTGTGAATATAGCAACACTATGGAATATAGAAAAAAAAAAAATCTACAGCTTACATGTTATTAGAAGAGATTAATTTGTATTTTCTTACACTGAAATGGAAGAATGAAACAAACAGCAAGATACAATTCTTAGGCTGGCAATAATCCAGCACTATGGAGAGAAACTAATACAATTAAAACCAGAGAATGTCTGTCTTACCTGTGAACAAAGCAGCATAACAAGTTCAACCACTGAAGTACTCGACTTCATACAAACCAGACCTGCAATAAATAGTCAAAAATGAATTTAAAATATTGGTGCTATTTAGTCATTATAGCTCCATGGTTTCAGAAATTCCATAAAATATCTGTGCTGTATCTTTTTATCACTCAAATTCACTGAAACAAGTTTCAAGCACAATTATCTGAGAATTTCAGATTCAAACATACTTAAATGTGCAGAAAGCATCAAAGCATCACCTGGAATAATCTATACCAGGTTCAGGACAGAAAGTTTTTTAATTAAGTCTTTCTGGCATTTAGCTCAGGTCATCATTTATCCTGTAAAGTCTTAAGAATAACCTGATCAGATATTAACAGGTAGAGAATAAGGCCTCTGCTTAGAAATTATTTTCATTTTCATCTGGGAATTGATTTTCCTGTAATTGAAAGCTTGAATATTAATGAAAGAGGCATTAATGTGAAATCTTATTTTTATTAAAATTATAACCCATAATTTGTAGTCCGTGTTTCTTAAAATAAACTTTGAATTATGCAGTGCAATTGTTACTCATTGTTTTGTACTTAATTTGAATAATTAATACCTAATAACATTGCCACTATTGTAAATACTTGTTTGCAGCTTTGGAAATGCAAAATTACTGCCTGAGAGAAGGATATCATATCTAAGTATTTAAAAGATGCATCGCAAAGAGACAAGGAGGAAATTACACTTCTACTGTTAACTATATATGGTAGCTTCTGTTATCTACAATCATATAGGCAACGCATTCATATGTTGGTTTAGGGCATGGAAACACTTTTGTTGTGTTACAAAAATGATAAATACACAAATATAAAGCTTACAGCTAAGGACTAAATAGGAAGCTGAAAAGCAAACTGATATGCTTTAAGTAGGTTTCTACAAACAGCGATTAGAGACAAAAGCACTCCTACACAATAGCACGTATATTTATTGCAGGTAGTGGATAAATACCCTTTTGTGCCCATTTTGCTAACAACCCCATCCTTATTGTACAGTAACACAGAACAAGCTGTAAGAAGCCACTAGGATTCCATTCTATCAGATATATGGGCAAACAGTTAACTAATGAAATAAGAGGCAGATGTGCAAAGCTCATTTAGGGAGACAATTGCTGTAATTGATCAGCTATTCTCACGCTCAAGTGCTAGAGGATCAGAAAGATTAATGGGATACTTATCACCTGCAGGCTACCTCCACTGTTTGAAAGCTGACAAAGAAAATCCAAACAGAAGACTGAACTCTACAGTTAAGCCAACGCAGGTAGCACAGACGTATGAAATATTTTATCATAGAATGTTCTCTGGTTTATTAGGAATCCACCTCATATTCTGTAAAACTAAAAAAAAAAAAATCTTTTCTGTCACACGCTCACTTAGCTTCTTTCAAAATCAGACCTCAGGTGTATTAAAATATGATCGAGTCAAAATAATGCTCTTAGAAACATGTTCCCATGCTACAGTCTTCTAAATTTGTACATGTCTTTACCTTCTGATTTTACATCAAAAGAACAAATGTCTCCATCATACACAGTTACGAAAAAATAAACTAATTAAATTATATAACAAATGTTTATGCATCAGCATTAATTTCTTTGTAATTTCACCAGGTTTCCAAAAAGAATAAAAAAATCAATGCAAAATATATGCAAAATATACACTTTCAAGAGAAACACATAATGAATATTTCCTGGCCTAATTCATATAAATTAGAACTTTTCAACTTTCAAAGACAGTTGGTGATACTTATGCCACCTATGTAGCTTCAAATCATATGAAAGAAAGTTTGGAGCATGGATCAAAATAAACATGCCTCAAATGGCACAAGGCTAGGATAAGTACTCATGATTATCATCCAGATAACAACGATGAGTCTTAACGACACAAATGCTGTATATATAATAAAACAGGACTCTCTGTTTGAAGGAAGTGATAATTACCTTAGTGCAAAATTTTCTGTTTACAATAATATTAATTTGTATATACTATAATTTTTAAAAGCCTGATGATTTGGCTTGAGTAAAATGATCATCTGACCTGAAACCGATGTCTTTTTTCTATTTGTATGGACATCACTTGGTAACTTTTTATGTATCACATCTAATCAACTGCAAGTTTGGATGTAGCATTCTAGCATCGGAAAGGAGAATCGAACTGATTTTGGTGAAATTAAGAGAAAGAAAGAGGAGGATACAGAACTGACATCTGGTTAGCACATCAGCACACCCATTAGTTGTACCCAGCTCTGTAGTTGCCTGCTGATGAAACAACCACTGATATTAGCCATAAATACCTCTCATAACCAGCAGTATTCAAAACTTGATCTTCTAAGAGGCTGGTTTTCATGTCAAAAAGAAACAAATAACTATCTCAGAGACATGTGAAAATACAGAGGGAGATAGGAAAGCCTCATAAAAGAAGCTCACAGTGTCAAAGATGGATGCAAGAAATACCCTTTGCAGAGAGCTCTGTCTACAGCAGAAATTAAGTGTGCAGCACGAGTTATAAATAAGCAAAAACAGGAGTAGCCATAACAGAAAATGGGGAATCCCATGCATCTTGATGGGTAGGAAGGAGGAAATAGAAACAGAAATACTTTCTATTCACTTTAAGTATTCATACCACATATTCCTTGAAGTAAAGCAGAATACAGAAGTGTGAAACATTCATAGCAGGGCCACCATTTCACGTTGTAAGTTTCTTGCTTATCAGCCTCCTACTCCCACTTCAGGGACTCCTTCCACTCAAGTCGTGTGAGGGAATGTGTATGCCCTCCATTATACGTTCCATTTCCTCCTTCCTAGCTGCCAAGGGCTCTATTTTTGTGTCCCTTGTGCTTCTTCCCATTTTTGCTTATTCCTGATTAACCAGGAAAGATTTGAAATAACTAAAGATTTTTTTCCTGTTACGCAAAACACAATTAATCTTCAGAGTTTACCGTTAGAGCTGTTGTGGAGTCAATAGTAGAGAATGATAAAAACAGATCAGACCTAATGGAGGACAGAACCATTTCTGCTTATTAGGAAAAACTGTCAGAATGCAATCTCTGGTTTATGAAGATCCCACATAATCAAAAGCTGTAGGAGAAGTTAAGGAAGAATCATCATCCCCGTCCTGCTGAACTTATCCTCCATAGACCAGAAAAAAGATCATATTAATAATCTTTTGGTTTTTAAATTTGTGTGATCCTCTGTTCCAGGAATTTCAGCTTGTGTGAATTGCCTCACTGCTTTTGGCTTGGTACAGACACTAAAATAATTTCCTTCAGCAAACAGTGAAGAGAAGGCACAAACTGGTTCAGGTATCTTCACAAAACCAAAAATAGAATTTGTAGCATGAATCAGAATAAAGATCAATTCCCTAAGCCCCAAATACACTAACAACTGTATTTATTCTTCCTCTTCATAGTTTTGCAGGATTTCACAGAGATTTTTAGAATGTGCAAAATTCTATTAGTTTTAATATAATGAGAAACAAAAATGATAACAAGCTTTGAAAAATAATGGCTTCTCTGACTGAGGAGAGCACACAAATTTATTTTCAGTTCTCTTTCCCCCCACTTAACTCCAATGAGAAAAAGTATTTGCAATTCAAACTAAAACTGTTGCCTGCATTCTTCAGCTGCAGATAAGTTCTTCCTATACCATCTGTATCAAATGCCATTAAGGAAGCTAATGTAATTACTAAAATACAAGTGGATATTTCCTGCATACAGCAAGGTTTAAAAGGTCATTGATTAACTGAATGGAGTACGTGCTTTTTATATTTGCTGTTCTTAGTACTTTTCTTCATGGTCTATTCTCAGTCCATTAAATATAGCCATCAAAATTCAGCAATTTGATGGCAACAATGGCCACATATATGGATGCAAAAACTGGGAGCATCAAGTGCATGACCTTAGCTAATCTGGAGTAAATGATGTATGCCTGGCAATTATCTTGAAATGCTCTGGTTTCCTTGACTTCTTTTTCAATGTTCTTCTGTTGGCCCAAAGATATGCTAATTATTTCTTTTCACTATGACTTATTAATGTCTAAAAAAAGATTAATTTCAACTACACTATTTTAGTCACGCCTGTGGCATTAATGAAGTCATGGGTTCAAAACCTCAAAGTCACCATGCTGAACTAGTCAGTGTGAATTTCTATTTTGAAGAAATCTAACGTAGGCTGATAAAATCAATTTTAAAAAAATCCTTATGAAATAAGATCACGGTTTTGAACTTCTTTTTATTATTATTAATACAATGTGTGTGTGAGTCTAACTGAATACCACCACAATTTCATCTGGTCTTTATCAAGGTTTGCCTGCATTTTCTTTCAATGATTTTATTTTGTGTCAACTTAAAACCTTATTGGAGCTGGAATCAATTGTAATATTAGCAAAAACAAAAGTTAAATGTTTTTATATCTTATGTTGAACTTAGAAAAAAAGATGCAATTAACTATACTTTAGAGCCTGCAGAAATCTTTCACTCAATTATAGCTTCTACTTATCTGAAAGTCTCAGGTATGGCTAAATAAAAAGCTTGAGAAAGTTTAATCCATTTAACCCAGTTCACAGAGAAAACTTGGCCTTTATTACTCCTGTACAGCATTTCAGCAAAACTACAGGAGCTTTGTATAGAAAAAAATGCTTATGACAAAATAAAGACATGCTATTACATGCATTATTTTACTAACGCATGAAAAGTGCATTAAATGTACTTAGAAATGAGCTTAAGGTCTAAAACTAGACAAAAAAAAATCAGAAAATACTACAATTCTCCTTTTTAACTTGTATTTTTGTAAGGTCAGCTATTTTCTATTTCCTACTGATACAGTCTTCCATGTACTTTAAACAAAACTGTACTGTTTCAAATTGTTCTCTATAACTGCTGGTAACTCATACTGTGGTATCTCTTCCCATAATCCTCAGTGACTTCTGTGCCAAGAGAGAGAGTAGGAATTTTCCATCAGTAATCACCACTCACAAATTGTGTCTCCATTTTTGATAGACCATTCCCTTATACTCTGTTCAACA